CTGGACATGTCCAAACCACTGTCCCTCCTCTGGACATGTCCAAACCATCTCAGTGTGTCCTCTCTAACTTTATCTCCCAGTTGTTCAACCTGTGCTGTACCTCTGATGATCTCATTCCTAATCTTCTCCATCCTTGTCTCTCCTAAGGAGAACCTCAACATCTTCATTTCTGCTGCTTCCAGTTCTGTCTCCTGTCTTTTTGTCCATGTCTCTGTCTCCAGACCATACAACATAGCTGGTCTCATCACTGTCTTGTAAACTTTTCCTTTGACCTTTGCTGACACCCTTTTGTCACAAATCACTCCTGAAACTTTTCTCCATCAATCCATCCTGCCTGGACTCTCTTCTTCACCTCTTCACCACACTCCTCATGTTCCTGGACAGTGGACCCCAAGTACTTGAAGTCCTGCTCCTTGGTGACCTCTGCTCCTTGTAGCCTCACTGTTCCACCTCCTCCCTCTCATTCACACACATGGACTCTGTCTTACTACGACTGACTTTCATTCCTCTTCTTTCAGGTGCACAAACGGACACTAATGAGGGTTAAATGATGACTCGTCCAAATGAGCTTGAACGAGTCTCGTTTCCTTCTCTTAATAAATAAATCTTAATCTTAATCTTCTCTTAATAAATACATCTTAATCTTAATCTTCTCTTAATAAATACATCTTAATCTTAATCTTCTCTTAATAAATAAATCCACAGCATTTTGTTTCCTCTGCAGAACTCTTCCTGTATTTAGTCGAGTTTCATGAATGTTTATCCAAATGTTTACTTTTTGGTAACAATTTGTAAAAGTGTCTGGTCCTTTTTATCATGGAACAATGATTTTGTACTTAATGCACATTTTAGGAGTTATTTAAAATTTTTTATTTGCTAAGTGTTCATCTGCATCAACCTTTTAGTTTGTGGGCCAAATGAAACTTTTAAATTCCAGCCGTGGGTCAAACTAAGTCACTGCAGGTCGCTCTTTTTGAAACCTGATCTACACCATGAGGAGGGGGTGAGAGTGAATCTGCTCCAATCTGGTGGTCGTCGGTCTTCCACCTTGAATCATGAACGAGCCTGATGAGCTGCTTTCAGCCGCACCTTCCAACACGGTCTCAGAGGAAGGTGCTTCGCTAACGCTTCAAAACGGTGACGGTGGTTGTCGCCTCCGCTCGTGCTGCTGCGAGCTGGACGTCTTAAAGAGGTGAGAGACAGAAACTCTGTCCACTGCCTCATCGTTTCCTTCATGTCTATAGTTCAGTATTTATTTGGGTATGAAAAGTGTCTCTGTTGAAATGATTATGACCATTAAACATAACGGACGTGTTGGGAGTGGGGTGGTGGTGGTGGTGGGGGGGGTTGGAAGGAATTATTTCAGTTTCCTTTAATTTTCACGAGAATCAAATTTTCAAGCATTTCAATCTTCAACATACATATCACCTGCCGGAGAAAATTCAATTTATAATTGGAGGTTTCACTAATTGGAGGTGGCGCGGTGGTGCAGTTGGTAGGGCGGCCGCCTCCCAGCAAGAAGGTCGCCGAATCAAATCCCAGCCCAGGACCTTTCTGGGTGGAGTCTGCATGTTCTCTCGTGCTGCGTGGGTTTTCTCCAGGTGCTCCAGTTTCCTCCACAGACCAACAACATGCATGTTAGACTGATGGTAACTCTAAACTGTCCCTAGGTGAGAGAGTGAGAGAATGTTTGTTTGTCTCCATGTGTCCCTGTGATGGACTGGAGACCTGTCCAGGGTGGCCCCACCTCTTGCACAGTGATGGCTGAACATGTGCACCAGTGACCCCCCCCCCACACACACACACACACACACACACAAAAGGAAGAAGCGATTAAAGATGATGGATGGATGGATTTGTTAATTGTAGAGGTAGAATAGTGTGATGGCTTTCATTAGTCCTTGTACTGGTTCTCTCTGCAAGTACTCGTTTGTTTGTTTGTTTGTTTGTTTGTTTGTTTGTTTACCTGCAGGTTTTCAGAGTTCAGGTCTGTCTTGTGTTTGTCTGTTGGTTTGTATCCTCCGTGGCGGTCCTCGATCACCGGGTCCAGCAGGTCCTTGAACACTTCGTACGTCTCCTCGTCTCCGGCCACGCAGCCCACCGTCATGATGAACGGGTGGCCTGCAGGGACGAGAGGAGAAGACTGTTTGATGGAGAGGACGAGGAGATCAGACAGGGAGAGGCATCTCGCTCCCTGCGGGGGATCTAACGAGCAGAAATGAACCTGATCCATCAGACGGATCCAATTAGAAAGGTCAGAACTCCAGAAGAGACGACTGCATCGTCTCTTCAAGGACACCGAGGAGTTCTGCCTCAGATCTTCTTGTTCTTCTTTAGTTGTTAAAACATGTCGATGGTTCGAGGCCTCAGTGCATGTGGGTGTTGTTCCCTGAGCCGACAGGAGTGTTTTCTGATTTACTGCCACACGTGCACCTGGGTTTGAATCGCGCAGCATCCCTGCTCCTAAATGTTGGAAAACACGTTGCCATGGCAGCCGAGTTGTTTTGTTTGAAAGCTGCGTTTCTTTTCATTACGACCCGAACTCCTCAAAACATCTGGACGTTGTATAAAATGTAAATTAAAAATAGAATGCAAATCCCATGAACTTAGATTATTTACAGTGGAACGATGTTTGAACTAAGATACTTTTCTGCACTCATTTATGTGTAAAGAAATGCACCCCCATACCATCAGAGAGGCTTTGGAACCAATAACAGCCTGGATGGTCCTCTAGTACAGAAGACCTTCAGGTTTGGATCTATCTGACCCCAGAACAGTTCTGGACTTCACCTCAGTCCATGTGAAACAAGCTCTGGTCCAGAGAAGACGCAGCAGTTCTGGATGTTCACATCTGACTTCTTCTTTGTCTGATAGAGCTTTAAACAGCATCTGTAGATGAACTGTTTCCAGACAATGATCTGTGGAAGTGTTCCTGAGCCCAGAACAGAACCTGACCTGGTTTTGATGCAGTGGCCCCCGAGGGCCCGAAGACCGTCCAATGTTGACCTTCAGCCTCGTCCTCTGAGCTCAGAGGTTCCTACAGATCCTTCTAATCTGGTGATCAGATTACGAGCTGTGACTGTCGGGATGTCCCGTCGGTTCAGGAGCCGTATTTGGAAACTGTTCCAACATGTTGGGACAGTTTTTCTTAGACGGCTGAACCTCTGCCCATCTTCACTTCAGCCTCTCTAAACTGCTCTTTTTATTCCCAGTCATCTTACTGGTGACAGTTAATCTAACTGGTTGGAGCATGCTCCTCCACCTGTTTCATGTTGGTCGGCTCGACGTGTAGGACATATGTTGTGTTGCAGTACCGCAGAAGCTGCACCGACTCGTCCTCCCCCCTCACTCTTCTATATTATTTAAACTCCCAACCACGAGAGGACGGTCCACCCCTTCCTGTCTGAGGACCATGGCCTCAGATTTGGAGGTGCTGATCCTCATCCCAGCTGCTTCACCCTGCGAACCGCTCCAGCGAGAGCTGGAGGTCACGGCACGATGACGCCAACATCATCTGCAAAGAGCAGAGACGGAATCCTGAGACCACCGAACCGGACTCTGTCCTCCCCCCGGCTGCACCGAGACCTTCTGTCCACAAAACTCATGAAGAGAATCGGTGACAACACGCAGCCCTGGCAGAGTCCGACTCACGCTGGAGCGGTCCGACACCGCCGGCAACACAAACCAAACTCTTGCACTGTTAGATGGACTGAATGGACCGTAGCAACGGACCCCCTACCCCATGTATTTACAGAGCCCCCCTCCACATTGTTTAGCAGCAACACGGTTGAACGCCTTCTCCAAGTCCACATGCAGACTGGTTGGGCAGACTCCCGTGAGCCCTCGAGGATCCTGCCAAGGCTGAAGAGTCGGTCCGTTGTCCCCCGGCCAGGACAGAACCCGCTTTGTTCCTCCTGAATCTGAGGTTCAACTGTTGACCGGACTCTTCTCCAGAACCCCGAATAAATCTGACCCGTGAGGCCGAGGAGTGTCCCTGTAACACCCTCAGCTCCCCCCTTCTTAAAGAGGGGAACCACCTCAGGCTGCCAGTCCAAACCACCGGACTGTTCCTTCACATGCACTCAGTGTCCTGACACCACTGCCTACACTGGACAGTAGCTCCAGTTCAGCCACTTTTATTAACAGGAAGTAGAACTGAACACTTGAGGAAACACAGAACTGCCGTGTTTTTGTATCAGCACCAAAACCGGTTCCATGACAGAAAAGGTGCACGTCAGAAATGAAGGGAACTGGTTTCGTGGAGGCGCTTCGCCCTCTGAGGAGGATGCCTCGAGTGAAGGATGGGCTCTGCAGTTTTGGGAGAAGGGTCACCTGTTCTGGGAACGTTACCTGGGTTGTCGACGCCGGTCTGGATGACGTCATCCAGGGTGAAGCCGCTGGGCGTCTCCTTGTCGCGCAGCTTGTCGTACATTTCCAGCGTGAGCACCTTGGCCATGTGGTTGTTGTGCTGGCTGAGGTCGGGGTACTCCTGCTCCGCCGAGTAGTTCATCTTCGACTTGTTGTGGGTGTTTCCGAAAGGCATGATGACGTGTGGGCCGCTGACCTGAGACCAGCGAGGAGAACAAATCATGACTCGGGAAGAACCAGAAGACCATGCCTATTTTAAAGGCTCTGCCTTCAGGATGTGTAGAAAATCAATTTAAGACTCTTTTATTGTTTTTAAGCTCTTAGTCCCGTTTCTTTCTGAGTCCTTCGGGTCCCTCAGGTATGAAGGAGGTCTTCTGAGGCGTCTCATGTGGACCAGCCTTCCTGAGGAACTGTTCAGTCTAACTTTTAGTTCATTTATTCACAGTTTTTAGCAAATCTTTTGTTAATTTTATCTGCTAATTTGACACACTTCCTGTTAGACTCTTAAATTAATTATAATTAAATTGTCTATATGCTGCGTCAGCATTCACAGTTTTGTTTTCCTGTTTTGTTTTTTTAGCAGTTTTTACAATCAACCTTGTTTTTGCTATAAAAATTTACATTTTAGCTAATGTTCTGCTACTTTTAGCTGCCATTCTGCTGCTTCAGCTAGCCTTTTGCTGCTTTCAGTTTTATCTTTTAGCTAGAATCTAGCTGTTAGCTTTCAGCTGGTGTTCTGCTTCTTTTTAACCAGTCAGTTTCAGCTTCAGCCAGATTCCAGCGTGGACACAGAGTCTTCAGAGAAAATACAGTTTCTGCTTTTTTCTCTAAAAATAACTTATTCTACTAAAATAAATAATAAATACTTTCTTCTTCTTCTTTCAGCTGCTCCTTCTTCAGGGGTCGCCACAGTGAACTAACTCGCACGAAGACTTGATGATTGTTTTTACGCTGGTTGTCCTTCCTGACACAGACACCGAGCTGCCACAGCCTCTGAGCAGAGCAGAGAGCTGCATCTAGGGTGCCCAGGGAGCAGAGGGTGGGGGTTAAGGGCCTTGCTCAAGGGCCCAGAGTGGGGCAAATGAGGGTGGAGGCAGGTGTGGGTGCTTCATCTTTCACCCACATTCTTAATGTTGTCAGTCTGGGGAGTTGAACCAGCAACCTTCTGATCACAGACCCACCTTCTCTAACCTCTGCGCCACCACTCCCACCTCCCAAATACTAAATGCTTTAATATTTACATTTTATGGAAACAATATTTATTTACTGTCCTGTGTGTTTATTTATTTATTTTTAACTGCAATAAACATAAACAGGGGAGTGGTGACGCAGAGCTTAGAGATTGTGATTGGAAGGTTGCTGGTTCAACTCCCCAGACCGACAACATCAAGAATGTGGGTGAAAGATGAAGCACCCACACCTGCCTCCACCCTCATTTGCCCCACTCTGGGCCCTTGATCAAGGCCCTTAACCCCCACCCTCTGCTCCCCCGGGCGCCCAGATGCAGCTCTCTGCTCTGCTCAGAGGCTGTGGCAGCTCGGTGTCTGTGGTCAGGAAGAACATCTGGCGTAAAAACAATCACCAAGTCTTGGTGTGAGTTAGTTCACTGCGGCGACGCCTGAAGAAGGAGCAGCTGAAAGAAGAAGAAACAGTCTTGAACAAAATAAACATCACAGATAAATGAGCATTTTAATAATTAATATCTGCACATGAGAGCATTGATTAGGATCAAACCCACCTGTTACACAAGCAAGAAAGATTTCAATAAATCTTTAATTCAAAGGTCAATAATTCTTGGACACCCTTCTGCTGCGTGCGTGCGTGCGTGTGTGTGTTGAATACATTGATTGTTGCTTTTGTTTTGCAGCAAACACTTTAAATATTTGAAACACTGACTTTAGTTCAATATTTTGATTATTTTGATTAATAATTAATATTGTCAGTCGTTTCTAGAACAAAGAGTTCATTTAAAGGTGAATGATCTGCCAAGAAGAACCAAATCCTGCAGGACGTGTTCTGTCCAGAACCTCATGGTTCTGGTTTTGACCTTCAGAAACGGAACCAGGGTTCTGCATCAATGCAGAGACCCAGTCCGGGTTCTGGTTCCCGGGATGGGTGCGGGTGATGGAGGGGGGTCCGGCTGGCTTTCAGAGACACAAAGGAAGATGCGCCGGCCCGCAGGGAGGCCGCGGAGTGACGCAGCAGTCTGCACGCGGCTGCAGCGCCGTGCGCGCGATGCCCCGGGTCACCTTCAGCAACCCTCCCGCTGCAGACAGACGGACCCAAACCGGTTCCGACCGTTCCCAGCCGGGTCAGGGACGAGTCTGCGTCACGGATGCATTAAAAATAGGAGCGGATTGCGCGTGCGTCACCGGTTCTGATTCTGCGCACCGGACACGGCCGCAGCGCCGCTGCTGCGCAGATTCGGACACCCGGTGGATTTATTTCTTCTGGAGGCTGCGGGCTGTAGATCTGCGCAGATCCTCACTGCGCATCTCCTGCAGGCTGCAAGGTCGTCAGACCCGGCTCCGCAGTCTGGTGCAGAACCGGTCCAACTGTCTGTCTAATAAACCATCGTTTTACATTGTCTCCCTGTAATTAGTCGGGTCCCTGCAGAGCCCCCTCCCCCCGTCCCTCCTGGACCTGAGGATGCTCCTACCTGTCGTCCGGTCTGAGGTGAGAGGGTCTGGGTCTGGTCCGGGTCTCCTGCTGCCGCTGCTGCTGCGGATTAAAGCGGCGCTCGGCCTTTTATACCCCCCCCCCCCCCCCCCGCGCCTCCCATTGGTTCCTATTTACGTCTATTCATTCCATTGGACGAGAGAGCTGCTGCGGAGCACGTGACCCGTGCTGGTCCCTCTGGCTCCTCCTGGATCCTGCCGCAGTGCCTCTGAGCCGGGCTGAAGAGGATGACGAAGTTTAGCTCGGCTTGATTTGGTAGGACGAGTTCATTTTTTACATTTCGGGTTTATTTTAATTATTTTTGCTCATTAATCAGGAGAGACTCCCTGCAGGGGCGCAGCTGCCTTTTTTAAAAGTGGGGGGCAAAACGTGATTCTGCCCTTTTAAACTTTAAAAACATGTTTTCACCTGATGTGTTTAATGATTCTGTAGTTTTTTGTTTTTTCATTTTCTGAGTTGGTTCAGTCCAACTGCTCAGAACACTGGAGGGGACGTTCAGGTGGAGATGATTTTACAAAGTTTCAAATTGTCTCGCAACATTTTAGCTCATGAGACATAAAGTCAAAACACGAAGCGAAAGAAAGCCACAGATTTATAAAATGTGGAGATTTAAGTTGATCTTATTGACATTAACCCAATTAAATACAGCATAAAAAGAAAAGTTATGAGACATGACTTTATGTTCCAATAAATAGTTGGATTTTAGGAGTTAATCAGAGCATAAATAAATAATCTTGGCAGGATTAAAGAGCACTGCTCTCATTTATTCATCACTGGGTCCACTTCGACCTAGAACCGCCATGCTCCCACGTTTAAAGCTCTAAAGTTACAAAAAACATTCATAGACAGCACAGTGGATTAGTGGGCAGAGCTGCTGCCTCTCAGCAAGTAGGTTGGCAGTTCAAATCCCAGCTGGGGGGGGGGGGACCTTTCTGGGTGGAGTTTGCATGTTCTCTCTGCACTGCGTGGGTTTCCTCCCACAGACTAAAAACATGCATGTTAGACTGACTAGTGACTCTGAATTGTCCCTCGGTGCGAGACAGAGTGAATGATTGTTTGTCTCGTTTGTCTCCATGTGTCCCTGTGATGGACTGGAGACCTGTCCATGTGTCCCTGTGATGAACTGGAGACCTGTCTATGTGTCCCTGTGATGGACTGGAGACCTGTCCAGGGTGTCCCCTGCCTCTTGTGATAGCTGGATATGGAAATCAGTGACCCGAAAGGAAGAAACAGGTAAAGATGATGGATGGATGGATGGATGGATGGATGGATGGATGGATGATGGTTGGATGGATG